TTGAAGCGCACATTGAAGGGTGCACAGGCGGACAGCGCCAACAGCTGCTCTCGTACAGCCTTGGGACGCCCATGCCACTCCTCTGCCCGGCCCCGCATGGCCTCGTTCAGTTCGGCCAGACAGTCGGCATTCCTCTGCTGCTTCTCCTTCTCAAAATCAGAGCCAAAAAGTGGACGGACAGGACTCAAGCCAGGTGCCAGGGTCAGGCCTCGGCCGCCAAGGCCAGACACTGCAGCTGCCAGCAGCCCAGGGGGCATCAGGCTGGGCATGGAGCCAAGCAATGCCCTTCGAGCCCCTTCAGCCACAACCTCCTCGCGGCCCAGCCCATTGGCCAGGCGGGACCCCAGGGTGTACTCCAGGGCGGGTGACGGAAGGGGGAGGCGGCCGGAAGATGTGGCCCTGTCATAGCGGTCCGGGCCGGAGACGCCGCCGCCACCGCTGCCGCTGGTTCCCGACGGCTGGGTCTGGGCCTGCGGGGGTGGTAACGGGGGTCCCTGTGAGGCCGCCGCCGCCAGATCCTTGGTGGTCGGGTGCTTGAGGGCGGGGGGCCCGGGAGAGCGTCCCTCGGGGAGCACGTGGCTGCGCTTGAGCTGGCGGGCGGCGTCGATGAGTAGCTCGATGCGGTCCGCGCCCTCGAAATTCACGCAGCCGCGGCACACGGCCTCGCTGAAGTCCCACACCATGGCCCACGGCATCTTGGGCAGGTCGCACAGGTAGCACCATTGGCGGCGGGACGCCTGCACCGACGCCATGGCCCCGCGCGCGCGCCGCCGGGCCCCCGCCTCGCCCCCACCGCCGACGTTCGGCCCGCGCCCGCGTTCGACCTGCGGCCCCTGACGGGGCAAGCCACAGTCTGGCCTCTGGTTCGGTCTCCCCGCCGGGCCCAGGCCCGGCCCCCCTTCCCCGCCCCCTGGACCCGGAGCCTTTTTTCTCACTCCCGCCTCCTTCGAGGAGGCCGGCAGGGGCACGTCGACGCCCCTGCCCGATCCGGCCCAAGAGCAGAGGCGCACAGCTCGGGCCCGATGTGCCGCGGGATTCGCCGCCTCGGGCTCCCGCTGCTCCCGCCGCCGAGGCCGCTGCTGCAACGGCCGTCGCTGCCTCCACCTCCTCTTTCTGCCCCAGAGGCCGCTTCGCAGGGAAAGTTACATAACGCGCGGGCAAAGCCTTCTGGGAAATGTAGTCCCGCCGGGGCCGGTTTTTAAAGGGGACAGCAGGCCGTGGGGTGGCTGGGAGTTTGTCGCCTTGTCCCGCGCCACCTCCTTAAATGCTTGTGGAGTGCCCAGAGGAGCTCAGGCCCAAGCGCTCGGGGTGAGGGGTTTATATGAACAATTAGTTATCGCGGACTCAAAAATTGCAACGAAGTGGACAGGCTGCCGAGCATCTGTTTTCTTCTCAATTTACAGTGCGACTTTGGCACAAGGCTTGTCTTTTCTGAGCCTCAGTTCCCTCGCCTATCAAAGGAGGGCCAATAACAGGTTAGGCATGCTGATCCTGGGGCGGTACGAAGAATCCCTGATTGGATGGTTTTGTTGCAGGTAACCGTTGGGGGGGGATATCTACTCAGCACTTTGTTCTTCCTTGAAGTCCCAGATGTCAGTTTCTGGAATCAACCACAGACGGAGAGAACAGAGGACACAGGGCTCCCAAGCCAAGCCTCGATCTCGGTTTCTTCCTCTAGCAAAGGATAGGAGTGCTCTCTTACTCTTTTCACTTCTCCCAGCGCGCTTCGGTCTGCAAAGGGTTACACAATCCGTTCCTCCGCCATCCATTTTACTATAATTCCCAAACTGCTTTGCGGTCGGAGCAAGTGACGCACTTCCGCTAGCCGGAAGGCTGAGAAGGCCTTCCTGATTCTAGCTGTTGCTGCCCCCCCATCCCCAAGTTTCTGGGGCGCTTTCTTTCCCCACTTTGGGCGCAAGAGGTTTGGGTACGCTTACCCTTTTGCTCCCCAATTGAGATTAACAGGAGAGGGTAAATAGATGGCGAGCAAAAGGGGGGGTATAGGAGAGAGCAAGCGTCACACCACCACCTTCCCAACCTTGAGCGTCTGCTACGTGGTGGGCCCAGCCAGGATTTAGGGACCCCCCAGGTTTTCACTTCCGGGAGTCCGAAACAGTACGAGGGACAGGCAATGCGAGTTCTGTAGTTCTAAGCCACAGAAGCCCTACCGTCTGGATCTGGGTCTGAGTTACGCGCTTTTAAGTATTTGAATGACGTGATTTTCATTCATCAGTGGTTTTCAGTGAGAAACAAGCTGCCTGCCTTCCAGTCCCTCCCTCAGTGCAACCACAAGCAGCTGAGATTTCAGCTATAAAATGTGTTTCACAATTCTACTACCACCTTAGTAAACTTTTGCATCATTCTTTGGGATACTGTGGGTGGAGCCCAGGACCTTAGATACATCCCTAGACCCTTTTAAAATTTTGAGACAGCGTCTTGCTAAATTGCCTAGGCTGGCTTCAAACTTTAATCTCCTGCCTCGATTTCCCAAAGTGCTGGTTTTACAGGTATATACCTCATGGGGGAACCTTTCTCCATTTAAAAAATTACGTTTGCATTACTTTAGTAAGTATTATAATCATTGATTTTCTATACTAACTGCGTTTAAATTACTGGGGATGGAGCTCAAGGCCTTTGTACTGAGCTGTAGTCTCATCCAATTTTTCTGTTTGTCTTTTTCCTTTTTATCGGTACCAGGGATCGAACTCACGACTGCCTGCTTGCAAGGCAGGTGCTTATGCCACTGAGCTAAATCCCCAGTCCCCAATTTTTTTGTTTTGATACAAACACAACCTCATGCTTGTTGAGCTGTGCCGCTGTACCGCTGAGCTATATCCCTGGTCCCTCCTCATCCCTTTTTAAGGCATTGTCTCCATATAACACTGAATTGCCCAAGCAGGGTCCAAATTTATGATACTCCTGCCTCAGCCTTCCAGAGTGCTATGATTACAGGTGCATATCATCATGCACAGCAACTTTTAAATGTTGGGTGCAACTTAATAAGGTTTTTAGGGGCTGGGGATTTAGCTCAGTGGCATAAGTGCCTGCCTTGTAATCAGGCAGTTGTGAGTTTGATCCCTGGTACCGATAAAAATGAAAAAGACAAAAAAAAGTTTTTAGCTATAAGCAGTGCCTCTGGGCTTTCTGCATGAAAACTGATGGAACCTGAAATTTCAGCCTTTTCTTTGGAGAATTCTTTATGAAAAAAATTCAATTTTGGCACCCAATTTCTGTTCTGGAGGTTTAAGGGCATGGTGCCAGGATCAGCTTAGCTGTCATGAGGCAGGCAGTTTCATAGCATTTTTTTTTTTTTAAGCATCAGTTTAAACCTGGTGGTGAGGCTGGGGATTTTGCTCAGCAGCATAAGCACCTGCCTTGCAAGCAGGCGATCATGAGTTCAATACCAGGTACCAATTAAAAAACGAACAAACAAACAAAAAAACCCTTGGTGGTGGCACACTCCTGTAACTCCAGCACTTGGGAGGCTGAGGTAGTGAGTGCTGTTGTGAGTTCTACTCTAGCTTGGGCTACATGATGATTTCAACACTAGCCAGAACTATACTACAAGACCCTGTCTCAAAAAAACCACAAAGTTAAAACTTTGGAGCCAAAAAGACCATTCCTGTGCCCTATAAAAATTGCCTTTGTGCCATTATTTAGTAAATACTAGTGGGAATTAAGAATTCTGGCCAGGCCAGGGATATAGCTCAGTGGCACAAGCACCTGCCTGCCAAGTACAAGGTCCCCCAGTTTGATTCATGATACGAAAAAGAGCAAAAAAAAAAAAAAAAAAAAAGAATTCTGATCAGATTCACATGGACAGACTGATTCAACCTGTGATAGCTGGGGCCTCTGGCACCTACCTGAACTACTCAGGGAAGGCAATGGAGACCCCTAGTCTTTTTCCCTTGGGTCCCTTTAGGCTGAACACAAATATGCATAGAAACAAACTGCCTGGTGCCTGCCATAGACAAATGCCATGCGGTTGGGGGTGTACCTCAGTGGTGGACACCATGTCAATATGCATCAAACCCTGGGCTTGTTCCTAGTACAGAAGGGGTATGCTGACCAGGTATGGTGGCCCATATAATCCCAGCACTGGGGAGGCTGGAACAGGAGGATTGAGTTCAAGGCCAGCCTGAGACACATAGGAACATTGTCTCAAAAAAACAAAACAAGAAAAACTGGTCAGTGTGGTGCATGCTTCTAATTCCAGCATCTGGGAAGGCTGAGGCAGGTGGACTCCAGCAGGGGCACTTTAGTGAAACTCAAAGCTCAAGATTGAAAATAATAAAGGATAATGAAGGGAAGCTGGGGATAGAGCTTAGTGGCACACTGCCTGCCTAGAAAATGCAAGGTCCCAAGTTCAATTTCTGGTATTAATATATATATATATTGCTAGAGATGTGCATCACCAAAACAAGTACCATAAATGAAGGTATTTGTTGGGGGTTTTTTGGTACCAGAAACCAAACTCAAGACCTTGTGCTTCTCAGGCAGGCCCTGTGCCACTGAGCTATATCCCCAGACTGAAAGTATGTTATTAAGCTGAGTATTATTCTACATCCTGAATCTGTTGGTGCTGGCAGTGCTGGGGACACAGCAATGATTAGCAGAAGTTCAGGCCTTGCCCTGATGACCCTTGGCCAGGTGATGGAGGCAGGTAAGCCAAGCTTAAACTTAACTGCTGTGCACAGGAGGGGAGCACAGGGGAACCAGTTCCTGCCTTCCTGAGACTGGGAGGAAAAGAACCACACTGCACTGACACAAGATGGGAAGAGGCTGGCCCATCTCAGCCTGGGAGATGGAATCTATGACATTCTCCTGGATGAGGTGACATTTAGGCTGGACCTGAAGGACTAGGAGGAGTTAAGACTTCACTGACAAACAGCAGCTGGGGGAAGCGGCAGCTTAGAAAAATCAACCACCAGTTCCCCCAACTTCAGGGGGGTGGTGCAGCTAGAGGTGATGGGCTCCAAGGCCTGTCTCAGAGCCCCGAGTGATTGTATGAAAAATAAGTTTATTGGTATCTTGTCACCACTGAGGAGAAAGGAGCCAGCTGAGCTCAGGGGGTCAGAGATGGCTATGGAAGGCAGAGGGCCCAACCCATCCCCCCCCCCGCAGGCAAAACTCTGCCCTTCTTAGGGTACAGACAGCTGTATCCCCTTTGTCATCCACACTCTGATTTGTCTAGCAACTCCCAACCCCTCCGGAGTCTGGGTGAGGGAGATGGGGAAGTCCCCGCGGGTCAATTCTCTTCAAGTCAAGAACAGGAATTGTTAGGGGTGGGGGATGTGCAGACCCCAGAGATCCCTGCCCCACCCCACAAAGGGCGATATAATAAGCTAAAATTGATGGCTTAAAAGTCAGGGTTAAGGGAGGCAGCCAGGCAGACAGCGCTGTACCAGAGAAAGGGGCTGGGGAGCCCATCAAGAGCCACCCCAGAGAATCAGGCACTAACTAGCACAGGGAGTGGGCGCTCACTCCCTGGAGCAGGGGGCCAGGGATCAGCTGGGGAGCCGAGGAGCATCGCCTGCCCTCAGACTGCGCCAAGCGGGGAGTGGGGGCGCAGGCAGAAGAAAGATTTCACGGAGATTTCCATCGGCCCCGCCTCTTCCGCGTGGGAAAACCTTTCCTCCTCTTGTGTGGGGGTGAGTCGTGTAGAGGGACTGGGGCTGGGGGTGGCCGGGGCGGCCCCTCCTCACTCCGAGGAGCGATGATCACCCCCCTGGAGGCCACCACAGCCCCATCCACGACAGCAGCCACCACGGAGACCGGTTCTGGGGAGACCTCCATCTTGGGTACAGGTGGAGGCGGCACTGGCCTGGGAGGTGGGGGCAGAGGTGGGGGCAGAGGCGGGGGCAGCGGGTCGACTGGGGTTCCAGGCAGCAGGGGTAGCAGGGCGCTGAGGGCCTCGCTCAGTTTGGCCAATCCCTGCCGAAGGGTGCCGGCCAGCTCCCGGATGGCGTTGGCAGTCTCCTGCTGGGCTCGCAGGAAGTCCAGGGAGGGGTCTGGGGCCGAAGGCGTGGGAGGAGGCCGAGGAGCAGGTGGGGGGCTGGGGGACGCGGGTGCCACCGGTGTCAGCGGCTGGGGTGGAGGTGCAGGGGCTGAGGGCGGTGGAGACAAGGCCAGGCGGGGCAGTTGGACAGTCTGCACGGCTGGAGGGGGCGGGGACTCACGCTCCTTGGATGGTGGGCAGCCCCCTTCCTGGGGATTGCAGGAGGGCCGGGCCCAAGGCTCCGGGCTGCTGGAGCCCCCCTTGCTGTGGGCCGGTGTATCTGCCAGAGAGAAAGAAACATACACGATGAAGGTACTTGGGGTGATGGAAAAATAAGGTGAGTGTTTACATTTTTAAAGTGTATTACAGTGAAAGGTGCATTGCCATGAATCCCCCTCAAAACACCTGCTCTGTCTTCAAACCCACATGGCCCATCACTTGTCACTTTCTGAAGCATTTCCCGAAGTCCTCCTCTGCGTCTTTAGTTGTACCTTCACGGCTGCCCCAATGTCCTAAATTGATTCAATGTATTTACCTTTCAGAAGGTCATTGTGACTTCAGGGAAAATCTAGAAGCCACACAATTTCATGTTAGACGGAGGAGGGCCCATGTTAGGAATCTGCTTGTGGTACCTGCATCTACTTTTTTCCCACTCCCTGTATTTTTGATCACATTTCATAAAGCGTCCAGAAAAAAGGACTGGCAGAACGGCTTCAGAAAGTGGCAAAAACAATGGGGTGTCTTTGAAGAGAGGAGGGGTGACCATGGGGGTGATTAACTGTACTGAGTCTTTTATTGTAACAAAATTTTAAAAATGTAAACATTCATATTTTGATCACCCACTCCACGCACAACTGGTAATGCTATCTTGATTTCTCCTTTCCTCTTCAACCATCCCTTTCCTGGCTCCAACGTGGTCTTTTTTTTTGGCGGGGCGGGGGGGGGGGTGTCCCTGGGGTCCCGGGGGTCCCGGGGATCAAACTCACAACCTAGAGCTTGCCAGGCAGCTGCTTATGCTGCTGAGCTAAATCCCTGGCCCTTCAACATGATCTTTTTTTTTTTTTCCACTATTATTTTTCGTTTTTCTTTTCTCCTTTTTTTTTTTGAGACAGGGTCTTACTATATAGTTTAGGACGGACCTAAACTCATTACCGAGCCCTGGCTGGCCTCTCATTTTCAGCGATCCTCCCTTCTCAGCTTCCCAAGTGGTAGGATTACAGGCATGCGCCACCAGGCTTGGCTTCCCAAATGTTCCCTCTCAAACTTAAGCCAGCTCATGCAGTGGGGCAGAATCCAGTGACAGTCAGTGTACCCTAAGGAGACACTCAATACAGGTAACCTGGCTGGCCCTGTGCCAGCTGTTATAGAAAGAGTCCCAGAAATCCTCTGAGCAGCAGGCAGCCCCCACCACACTCAAGCAGCTCTGAACTCCTTAGATATTCACCCCCAGTCCTTTCAGGCTACCCTGCTGGACCCTGGGGAGATGAGGGGCTGGGAGCGAAGTAAGGTGGTAAGAATCCTGGGGATGAGGCTGGGGATTTAGCTCAGCAGCATAAGCGCCTGCCTTACAAGCAGGCAGGCAGTTGTGAGTTCGATCCCCAGTACTGATGAAAAGGAAAAAGACCAAAAAAAAAAAAAAAAGAATCCTGGGGATACTATTGGTGGCTCTCTCCAACCAGGACGGCAGGATTTCCCACTTGAACCCCCAGCTGCTGGGTTTCCCTGGCCTCCACACCTGGGATCTCATTTCTACACATGGCCTGGAACTGTTTGCAACCAGGGCCCCTGCGTTGCTGGGCAGCCTGAAACTCTGGCCTGAGCTCCCCACTCGGCTCTCCAGTGTCTCCAGCTGCGACCTGGGCTTGGCTACTGGATGTTTAGCGAGGCCTCTGACTCACTGGCTCTGAGCCCAGCTGCTGCTGTTCCCCTAGCTTTGTTTCCTCAGCCAGTGGCAGCACCCCCTCTTCTAGCTGCTGAAATACCTGGCTTGTCTTTTTCTCCAGACACCATCCACATGCAGTCACCATGGGACTGGCCTTCAAATAAAACCCAACCCTTGACCTCTTCTCTCAATCCCACATTCCCCACCTGAGTGACTGCGTTTGGTCTCTCTACTGTGTTCCCTGTCCTCACCCCACCAGAAACAGTCTTGTCCTATGCTAGAAGGCCAGAGGGGCCACCTGAGATACAGGCAGGGTCTAAGACAGAAGCCCGACACAAAGGACCACAGACTGCATGACTCCACTCCTATGAAATGTCCAGAACAGGGGGCTCTATACAAAAAGTGAACTGGTGGCTCTCTCGGTGAAGGGGCTCTTTTTGAAAGGAAAAGGTTGCACTACTCTCAGTACACTAAAAACCACTGAATTGTACACCTTTTGTGTGTTTTTTTTTTTCCCTTTGGGACAAGGGCCTTGGCCTTGAACACTTGGCAATCCTCCTGCCTCAGCTTCCCAAGTGCTGGGATCACAGGTGTGCACCACCATACTCAGCTTGTACATCTTATTTTTCAAAAGAATTTCTAGATTTGGGGCCGGAGATTTAGCTCAGCGGCATAAGCTCAAGGTAGTAAGTTTGATCCCCCATACCAAAAAAATAAATTTAAAAAAAATTTTAAAAATGGTCTTTAGATTTAAATTTTTTTTTTTTTTTTTATAGCAGTGGGGATGTAACCCAGGGCCTCACTCATGCTAGGCAAGCGCTCTGCTACACAGCTAGAGCTCCAGTCCTGAATTGTATGGTATAGAAATTTTATCTCCATAAAGTGGTTTTTAAAATTCAAGCCAAGAGGCTGGGGATTCAGCTCAGCAGTAGAAGCGCTTTGCTGGCATGTGCGAGGTCATGAATTTGATCCTTAATACAAAAGAAAAAAAAAAAATCAAGTGAAATACAAACCATTTGCTGTCTTTTTTTCTGTTTAAACCGCCTGTCCCTTTCAAGGTAAAAGCAGTCCTGAAGCCCCCAAAGCACTAACTACACTATCTGCTTCCATTGCCTCCCTGACCTCAACTCCCTTCCTCCCGCCCCCTCTCCCTCCCTGGCTCCAGTCACACACTGGCCTCTTTGCTGGTCAGTATACTTGGCATGCTCTGACTTCAGGGCCTTTACACATGCTGATCCCTGGCCTGGAAAGGGCCTGACACCTGTCTAGCTTCCTCCCTTACCTCCTTCAAGCCTTCAGGCTGAACTGACATGATGCCTCTTCTTGCCTCATTGGGAAGCCCTTGACAGCTGCCTAAAGGAGCTGCCACCCACTTCCTTTTCTCTTCCCTATTCCTACCTGATTTCACTTACAGCTCTCATCTCTCTCTGGCATAGAAATGATCAATTTTTCTGTCCATTCCTTCTGATGTCAGTTCCATCAGGCAGAGCTTTCTTGTTTACTCTGAGCTTAGAATCACATCCATCTTTTTTTCTTTTTCTTCCCAGTACTGGGAATCCAACCCAAGAGTGCTGTATCACTGAGCTACATATCCAGCCCCTGAAAAAATGTTTAAGCCAGAGTCTCACTAACTGGCTAAATTACCCAAATGGGCTGCAGCTTGCAATCCTCCTGTCTTACTTGGACTTTTAAGAGTGCTGGGACTATAGGTCAGTGCTTATACTTTTTTTCTTTTTTTCGCACAGTGATCCTCCTGCCTCAGCCTCTCCAGTGCAGGCATTACACCATGCCAGGTGTACTTAAAAGAACTGTGGCTTGCAGACTTGGCACTGACTGGGCCACTCAGGGCTGCTCTGCAGCTCCATGGCCCCTTCCCACAGTCACAGGGCCTCGGCTCTTGTCCCCACTGCTGCCTTCTTCCCTTCCTGTCTGCCTTAAGGCCACACACACGCTGCTCCTCTCACCTTGCACCGCCCCTTGGCCAGCTCAGATGTCCCTTCCCCAGAGAAGCCTGGCCCCCTATCCTTGCCCAATCAGATCCTCCTGGTCTCCCCCTCTTCCCTTGAATGCTAAGTGCCAGATGACCGCAGGGCTTTTGCTGGACAGTTAACTGCACGCTTTCCTTACGGAGTCCACCCAGTCATGGGAGGGCCACTAAGAAAGCCAACGTCATATTTACTGGTAACTTTGGGGCCTCGGTTTCCCTGTATATAAGTGAATATATATGTAAACAAAAGACTGAGTGGCCAATAACAGAACATCTTCCCCAGGGGTACCATAGGTATTCACTTGTCACTACAGTCTCCTTCTCACTTGAAAATATTATATCAAGGATAAATGGGCCTTAGCTCTCTTTCCAGGGTCAACAAACATGGATCAGGCTGCTGTAGGCAATGCTAAGCCCTGTTCTTGTCCTTCAATCAGAGCAGTATCTCTAAGTTTTACAGTGTGTTAGGAATGTCCTCTGTGTTCCTGCCCCAGGGCCTTTGCATGTACTTTTTCCACTAGCTGGAGTGCTCATCTCCCGAACAATCACTAGGCTCAATCTCTGTATTCAGGTCTCTGCTTGATTTCATGTCCTTAGAGAAGTTCTTCCTGACTATATGTCTATATGGCTCCCTTCCATTATACACTGTCCTCTTAATATACTTTACTTCTTTTCCAAATTCTTACCATCTTCTGCTATATCATTTGTTGGGGGGGGGGGGTCCTGCTGTTTGTAGTCTGTCTTCCCCAATTATAGTGTCTGCTTCATTAAGAAAAGGGATTTGTCTTTTTCTCCATAGTATTCCCAGTACCTTCTATGGCCTCTTGCCTTAGAAATTTTTTTTTTCTCTTTTTTTGAAAATGGTTTGTAGCCTGTATTTATGGAGCAAATGAATCAAGGAGTTGCATAATTTCTAAGAAAATGTTTGTCATTTTCACTCTGGTGCAATGGGGCCATTTCTCAGGTAGGAACACCAAGGGTTAGCCAGGCACAGTAGGCCATGTCTATGATCCCAGCACTCTGATAGACTGAGGCAATAGGACTGTAAGCTGGAGCCCAGCCTGCACAACTTAATGACTTAGCCCATCTCAAAATAAAAACAATAAAAAAGGACTGGTGGGGGCTGGGGATTTAGCTCAGCGGCATAAGTGCCTGCCTTGCAAGCAGGCAGTCGTGAGTTCGATCCCTGGTACCAATAAAAACGAAAAAGACCAAAAAAAAAACAAGGACTGGAGATGTAGCTCAGTGTGAAAATCCAGGGTTCAATCCCCAGTACTGTAAACAAAAACAAAAAACAAAACCAAAAACCAATGAAGTTGGACCAAAATTTAGAATGAGGATCCCCAATGATTGTGTCTCCTGAAGTCCCAAGTCCTGATCTTAATTTAAGAACCCTGCTTAATCTAATTCTGACAAGCCCCACTAGCTGTCAGTGTTAACTGTTATTTCTGGGCAACTTAGCCCAGTGGTTAAGGATATGGACTGCAAATTAAGACACACATCTGTGTTTGCATCTCTACTGCTGTGTGACCTTGACTGGGCAAATGAGCCCCTCAAATCTTGAACTGCCTGTGGTCTGGTCATCTCTAAACCCCTCCCTTTTTGGAGACTTAAATGGCTTCCCATGCCATTCAGAATATCCAAATTCTTCACTTTAACCTCAAGGCTCAGCAAAGGCCTTTGCTAATCTCTGACCCCATCTCAATCTTTCTTCAATCTTTCACTTTTCCCCAAACTTGCCAAGCTGTCTTCCCGCCGTGCTGCACATGCTGTCTCCAATCTCAGCTCTTTTTCACTCTTATTCTTTGTGCCTCAGCACTGTCGGCCCTCCTCCAGAAAGCTCTCCTCCAGCTCTGGGGTCTCACAGCCTCTGGGCTCCCCCGCTCCAGGCCTGCCACTCTGAGTCATCACTGTCTCCCCACTGTCACCAATGTGATCTCGACACCACCCACCACAGGGCAGGTACCTGGGGAACAGCAGTAGAAAACATGATAATTCAGAGTCAAGGCTAAGCAAAAAGTCAGTCTCAGGAGCCCGCTCTCCACAGCGCCTCTACCGGAGATGTGACCTTGAGACAGTTATCAGACCTCTGCAAATCTCTGGTTTATAAAATGGTGAAATTATTAGTAACTTCCACCTCCTAACCTTGACATTGGTATCAAGAGTTAACCATGAGAGTTCTGGAAATGCTGTGACAAGCGATTGGCCCATATGAACTCACTTAAGTCTTCACAGCGAGCCTTGGAGGTGTAGAATATTTTTATCTTCTCTTTACAGATGCAGAAAACGATGCACAGTAACTTCCTGGGATGCCACAGCTGAGTGGCAAAATTGTGATTGGCATCCAGGCATTTTGGCTCCAGCCCTACTACCCTACTCTGCACTTAATCAGATCCGCCTGCACAGGGATCCCAAGCGTGGCTCTGAGCCAGGACTCCTAGGTCTGATTCCACTTTTGACTCGGACAGTCACTAGCTAGGGAACCTGAGGTAGGTTCGTTTCCTAAGCTTAGTTCTCCCTACTGTAAAATGGTAACCCACCTCTCAAGATTTTAGTGAGGCTTTGATTGGCCACTTAAAGGATTTGGACCAGCTCCAGACACAGTGGACTTTGTGCTTGCATTTGCTAAGGTGATGGTGAAGTAACTCACCTGCCCGTCGGTCCTCCCTGCGGTCCTCAGACAACACACAGCGCTGGGCACTGGCGCTTGGGGTGGGAGGCTGAGAGGAGGCGGCTGCAGGTGACTCCTCCACCCCAGCACCAGGCCCTGGCCCCGCCACACTGGGCCCCAGGATGGCGAAAATGGTCTCCTCCTCCGCGGAGAATGCGTCCTCGGCGGCGGGGCCAGCACCCTGCGTGGAGTGCGGCACGCGGGCCAGCTTTTCCTTGGTGCGGCGCTTGAAGTCGTTCCAGCGCTTCTGCACCTCCTGGCCCGTGCGTTTCCAGCTGGTGATGCCATTGATCTTGGCGGCTATGCCATCCCATACGCGCCGCCGCTCGGCTACGCTCACCCGACGGCTCTGCGCGCCGTAGAGCTGTGGGTAGTGGGCGCGCACCTCCCGGATCAGGATCTGGTTCTCCTCGAACGAGAAGCGCGGCTTGCGCAGCCGGGTGGTCTCCTCCGCTTCGCCCGCCGCCGCCGAGGCCATGGCGCCCCCCGACGCCGCCGTCCGGCCGCCTGCCGCATGGGGGGCGCCGGCGCTGCAGGCAAAGGGCGTACAGCGCTGGCGGGGGCCCGCTGTTCCCCAGCCGCCGCGACATAGTCTCTTACGACCCTGGGGCAGCGGGGAGGCAGAAGTGCCTACCAACCGCGGGCGCGGGCCGAGCGCTCAGCGCGGGGTCCTCTGGGCGCAAAAGACCTTGCTGAGGAGTTGATGGGGATTGGGGGAGGGTGTGGAGGGAAAGTGGAGGGAGAGGAGGTGTCTGCTGAAGTAGAGGAGAATGGGGGCACAGAAGATGAGAGGGAAAGAGAATGGGGCGTCCTAGGGGTCGAAGCATGGGGGGTAAGGAGATGCTGAAGGAGGCGATGCAGCAAAGCAAGAAGGGGCATCTGAAGCGAAGGGACGCTCTGGGGGTTCCCAGGGCAATAGGGCGCAAGACCTGTATAAAGCAGGGACCCGAGGACGTCAAGGAACAGCCATGAGACGGGGACTTCAGGTGCAGGGATACAGCTGGGACTATAAAACATCAGGGATGGGGGTCTGCGGGATTATGGGGCGCTAGGATTGCCAAATATTAAGGAGGGTGCTGGAGATAACGGGGATCCGAGATCAGACGAGGACAACGGAGGCTATCTGGCATTCCAGAAAGCGTGAGGGTTACGGAGGGTGGGAACCGAGTCGGGCCGCAGGTCACTCACCGGCGCCGCCGCAGCCCCAGCCAGCCGGTGGGTCAGGGCTCGGGCTTCTGCGGCCTCTTCCCTCCGCCCTCCCTCTTCTCTCTGGGCCCCGCCCCCGGCCGCTCCTTGCCAAGGCGCAGGCGCGCCTACGGCCAGTTGGTCTGGAAGCCATTACAGCCCGGATTTCATTCCCACCCTTCAACGCGGCGCAAGCGCAGAATTGCCCTCCGCCAGGCTTCGCGGTAGGCTGCAGCTGCGCAGCCGCAAATTTAGCGCTGCACTGGACCCCTGGCTTCCTAGTGCTACAACCACGCACGCGTAAACGTTTGTCGCACGCATGCGTATCCATCCTGGCTCCCCGGTGGCTGGGGTATCCAGACGAGGTTCTGGCTCGCGCCATAGCAATACGTAGAGTAGGAAAGGTAAGAAAGCTAGCGGTGTCTCTGCCTTCGGGCAGTCTTCCAGCCCATTTTGCCCTCCTAAGTATGCCAGAGTTTTTGTTTTTTGGAAAAGGCAGCAGGAGTGTGTGAGGGGAAAAAAAAAAAAAAAAAAAAAAAAAACCGCTTCGTTTCCATGACAACTGGGTGGGTGAGGCGGAGGTGCGTTAGGAAACCTCTGCCGCCTTCCGTTCCCGCGCCAGTGCTGCGGCGCTAGGGAACTAATACCTCCTACAGGTTGAGGCGGGGCACCCTAGGGATATTCCGCTTCAGGCAGATGCGGTAACCGAGGCAACCCAGCAATCTTGCGGCGCAGTTCTGGGTCTACGCCTTTAGGTCGTCGTGGTGGCTCCCGCGGGGAGATCTGAGGAATTCCTTGATGGATAGGCGGAGCGATCCTGACCTGGGCCCACTTTAAGCATAAACATGTAATGTAGAACACACTGATGTAGGGGAATTAAACTGCCGACCTACTACTATGTCTGGTAGGAGCTCATGTTCGCTAAAATCGAAGAATGAATTTTAGGAACAACAAAGATTAAGAGTAGAATATATTTATTGAGAGAAAGAAAGCTGAGAAAAAGGGTCCTGAGTGGGTTGCCAAGGACTCTGTCTTTTCTAGGGACTTTTATAGAGTAAAACCATGGGTTCAAAGTGGGACATAACTATGGTTAGCCAATAAGATCAATAGATCGGGTAAAATTGATTATATTAGGGACAAATGGGGAAGCAAGTTACCTAGAAAGCAGGCGTTCTTTGGAGCTGTGACTCTTTCCTAGGGGGATGAGAACTGTTTAGGGTATCAATCCTCAGGATATGGGTGCATTTGTGTTGTCTTGAGGCCTGGCCCACAGTCAGTCTCTCCCGAAGCTGCCAGGTGTTTGCACTGGCTCCATTGAGGACCTTGTCCTATCTCACGGCCTATAATATTTTTAACGAACTCAGCTGTCTGCAACAACAGGCTAAGTCAACTGGATGGCGGGTTGATGGCTTTAAAGCTGCTGAAAAATTTGTTCAGCATCCTGCAGGAGTCCTCAAAGTCACTCAGCAAATGAAGCCTCATTCATCTATTCAACAGATATTTATGAGTGTCCACACGGGGTCATAAATAGAAAAAAACAAAACTTCCTACGTTATTGAGCTTTTAGTTGGGAAAAACAAGATAAGCAAACTAAAATATGTAGGAGAGAAGGTATCAGTATTATGAAGAAATTAAAGCAGGAAAGGTTGAGGCTGGAGGGATTTGTGAGGGCCTGTATATCTGCTTTGTTTTTTGGGGTGTTGGGAATGTAACTGGGGGCTTCCCACGTTAGGTACTGCTGTATCAATGAGCTATACCCACAGCCCTTACAGTTTTATTTTATTTTTTATAGTTTTACTTTAATAAAATTATATCTTTATTGACGATTGATTGGAGTGGCTGATCTATGGTACTTGGGATTGAATCTAGGGCCTCATGCCTGCTTGGCACTACTACGGAGCTACATACCTACCCCCCTATAATTTTAAAATAAGGTGGCTAGAAGAGGCCTCTCTCAGAAAGTGACATTTGAATTAAGACATAAAGGAGCTGAGGGAGCAAATACAGTCCAAGATGAGATTGTGCCTGTTGTTTCCAAACACATTGAGGAACCCAGTGGTGCTAGAGCAAAAGGGAGCCAGGTTCTGCTGGCCCCACGTAGAGGAAGGTGTGAGCTGGCATCTTTAAAAGACTCCTCTGGGGCTGGGGATTTAGCTCAGCGGCATAAGCACCTGCCTTGGAAGCAGGCAGTCGTGAGTTCGATGCCCGGTACCGGTAAAAAGGAAAAAGACAAAAAAAAAAAAAAAAAAAAAAATAGAGGACTCCTCTCCAACTGGTAGAGGGGTGGGAAGGGAGTTGGGTGCCCCGTGAGGAGGTGGCTACTGCAAGAGGTGGTGATGGTTCTGGCCCAGGAGGTGGCCCTCCATGGAGGTGGGATTGGGTATGAAGCAGAACGGTAAAGGAGGAAATGAGTGTCTTGAGTAAAGGGGAGAATGGGGCTGCCAGAAGTGAAGATAAATACAGTCATTGGAGGATCAGGAGTTCAAGTTTGCTTAAACTTGCCAGGTACCATGATGTATGCTTGTAATCTTACCAGTCTGGGAGATTGAGCACAGAGGATTGCAAGTTTGAGCCCAGCCTGGAAAATTTAGCAACTTAAACCCTGTCTCAAAATAAAAAAAAATAAAAAGGGCTGGGACTGGCTCAGGGCAAACACTCTGGGTTCAATCCCCAGTACCACCACCAAAAGAAAACTTTGGCAGACCTGCTTGCTGCAGCTGCAGCTGCTATCAGGACAAAGGAAATGTGCCACAGGACATTAGAGTCGTCACAGTCTTTTATGTAAGCTTCTAAGGTCAGTCAGCTTCCCTCTTGGTTCTGTGGTCAACTGTAGAACTGCAGTTGGGACAGACATGGAGTTTGCAGTCTGCTAATTCTCCATCATATCTTGAAGCAGGCTTTCAATTTCTGAGACTCATTTTTCTCTGAACTCTGTCACTGGGTGCTCTTTATAAATGAGTTCTTTTTCTATTTTCCAGTCTTTCAGAGGTGCAGGGAGTCTTAAAGTTTGTAGTCTTTTTTTCTTTGACTACTCATTATTGAACTATCTTATTGTTTGTTTGTTTTGAGGCAGGATCTCCTTATGCAGCGCAGGCTGACCTTAAACTCACTATGTAGCCAAGGCTGTCCTCTAACTCATGACAATCCTCCTGCCTCAGCCTCCTGAGTCCTGGGATTACAGGTGTGCACCACCATGCACAGCTATCTCATTTACCCTTGCATTTCAGTTACCATCTTTACAAAGTGGCCAGACATGGTGGTTCACATGTGCAATCCCAGGAAGCTGAGGCAGAAAGATCACTGTGAGTGAAGTCCTGCCTCTGCTACAGAGTAAGTTCTAGGACAACCTGAACTGCATAGGGAGATGCTGTCTCAAACAAACAAACAAACAACAACAACAACAAACCTAGGGTGCTAAAGTTCACTATTCAATGTCACCGTATTCCCTATCTCAATTAATACCCTCTTCATCTAACCTCCTCCAAACCAGAAACTCCAGCAATAGTGTTGACTTCTCACACCTTATGTTACCTGAAAAATTTGGTAGAGATCTCATTTTTCAAGTCTACCATCTCCTGTCCATCACCACAAGTTATTAACTTGTACTGTTTATCTCTTGTCTGAATTTTCATAAAGGCAAAAAAAAAATAAAAGTTTACCCAAACTTTAGTTACACATTAGACAAGGATGTTGAGTAAGGAGTTGGGTATCCTAGTTGACTTGGGGACAGGTATCTAGTCTTGAGACAGAAATGTTGGAATTGTGAATAGTGACACTTAATTCTGTAGGACAAGGACTGGTTACTGAGGCAGCAGGTATACATGGGGAAGAGTCCTGGAGTCAGAGGCTGGGACATTCCTGTGGAAAGGGGAGGACACGAAATCACAGGGACCCAGGAAGAACAGTGTAGTGAAAAGGACCAGGGCTATGTGTTGACCCAGAGGCCAAGTGAGGGGCACAGTTAAGGGAAATGAGGCTGTCCGTGGTGGCACATGCCTGTAATCCCAGCAGTCTGAGAGAGCTCGCATTCAGAGCCAGCTAGGCAATTAGTGACTTAAAAGAGAAGCTGTCTCAAAATAAAAATCATAAAAAGGGCGGAAGATGGAATGTAGCTCAGTGATAGAGCACGCCAGGTTTAATCCCTGTTATATATACACACACACACACACACACACACACACAGTGGGAGGGAACAAAAAGTCTGGGGTAGGGGGTAGAAGGGGATTGAGGATGGGGAAGTGAGAGATCAGACAAGGACAAGGACAGTGACATGGTTAGGAGTTGATTTGGAGAGACTATTTTTTTTTTTTTTGGTGGCACCAAGAATTGAACTCAGGGGGCTGGGGACTTAGCTCAGCAGCATAAGCGCCTGCCTTGCAAGCAGGCAGTCATGAGTTCGATCCCTGGTACCGATAAAAAGGAAAAAGATGGAAAAAAAAAAAAAAAGAATTGAACTCAAAATTTTTGCCCTGAGCTACATACCCAAACCTTTTTTTTTTTTTATTTTCCTATTTTTTATTTTGAGACAGTTTCTCTCTTAAGTCACAAAGTTGCCCAGATGGGGTTGGACCTTGTGATCCTGCTGCCTTAGCCTCTTGAAGTGCTGAAAGGCTTGTTTTTGAAGGAGATCTCACTGTTGCCGGGTTTACAGATGTGTCCCACCATGCTCAGCGTGGCTGTTATTGTTTGTATCTCCCCAAACAAACACTCAACACCACACACCAAGATGTTGAAATCCCAATCCCTAATCCTTCAGCATTTTAGAAGCACTTTATTAGGAGAAGGGTTCACTGGACTCCTAATGGGGAGATGAGGGCATGCTGAAGTTGGGTCTGCCAGTGATGCCACGTGACTGGTGTTCGTAGGAAGAGAAGAGTTGCACAGAGAAGTGACCAGTGGCTGAGGAGCCAGAGAAAGTATGGTGTACCCACAAGCAGAGAAAGGCCCAAGACTAACAGAAAACAGGAAATGAATTATGTCTGGGATTGAACCCAGAGCCTCAACCCTCTTCTTTCTTTTTTTCAAGCAGGGTCTTACTAAATTGCTAAATTTCCCAGGCTGGGCTCCAACTTGGAATCCTCCTGCCTTAGTCTCCCAGAACTACTCAGTTTGTGGCAGTTCCTTAGGGCAGGGCTAGGGAACAAGTCATGGGGCTCCTGGGGGAGGCACCCAGGCTCTTCCAGCTCCCCAGGGGTCTCAGCTGGGGGGCTGTTGGGCAGGTCCTTGAAGCTCTGCAGGTGCTATGATAGAGGGATGAGAGGTCAAGGTATTAGTCTCTCCTCAGTCACTCTGCCACCTGGTTATCCACTGAATAAATCAGTTTATTAAGAACAAATAGTAAAATTCAATGATGTGATTTGCTGGTCTCTAGGCTTCACTTCTGAGCCTTAACTTAGGCATCCAGCAGCTTCTGGGAACCTGCACCTTGGATGTCATCATCATACATTTTGTGTCCCCCATTCTCCCAGATGACTTCAGCACCCCCTCATCTTTCCAGGACTAAGGCACCCCTCCCAGCCCTGTATTCTCCTGAGTACTGAGTACTAAGTACTAAATCTTTATCTTGAGGCTACCTCCTGTATTTTCTATAACTGCTGCCCAAAGTTTGACAGAGAGGGGCTGGGAATTTAGCTCAGTGGCATAAGCGCCTGCCTTACGAGCAGGCAGTCATGAGTTCGATCCCTGGTACCGATAAAAAGGAAAAAGACCAAAAAAAAAAGAAAAAGAAAAAACAAAGTTTGACAGAGATTAGTTTCTTGGGGAGGGATGGTTTTTTAAGACAGAGTCTCACTATGTAGTTTAGGCTGCCCTACAACTCACTGTGGAGCCTGCCTGGCCTCAAACTCTCAGTGATCCTCTTGTCCTAGCCTCCCCAGTACTGGGATCATAGGCCTTTGTCACCATATGCTGTCTTGGTATCTTTGTTAAGCTCCATCACCAGTTTGGGAGGCCCTTTGCCTCTTGCTTGACGCACTCCTAGTGTGAATTAGAAAGAGGCGCCCTTTTGTGGGCTGTATGACTCAAGTAGGCACTCTTGTGTAGGGCTGACCTGTGATGGGCATCCAGTACCTGCCCCCGTGGCTTTGCGTTGCAAGGGATTTTAAATTGTTTTTTGTTTTTTTGGTACCGGAAAGCAAACTCAGAACCTCATGTTTCCCAAAACTTAATTTTACTGTTTTTGCTTTTTTGAGGTACAGTATTTCTATGTAGTTCAGGCCTTGAACTCACTATGCAGTCTAGGCAAGCCTCGAACTAGGGGTTCCTCCTGCCTCAGCCGCTTCCCAGGTGTTGGCATTACAGGAAGGTGCCACCATGCCTGGCTCTTTTTCTTGTCCTGCGGTTTTGTTTGAGAGTCTTTGTTGTGGGCTGAGCTGTATTTCAGAAGAAGACCTCATGAACAAAGACCCTTCACTGGGGTCCTTTGGTTCTCCAGCTAGTCCCTGTCTGAGCAAGAGTCCAGGTATACATCTCAGGGGCTAAGGACACACAATCAAAGTCAGGTTTTCCCCAGGTCTGCAACATCCTGGACTGTCTGCCCACACCCAACTCTCTAATCTTGTCTCTTACTCAGCCAGCTTCCTGCATATTCTGTGAACACACCAGATCATCAGTGACGCTATAGGACCTTTCAACTTGTGGTCCCCTCTGCCTAACTAACATGGTCTCAGAAAAGAGTCTCTGATCTCTAGGTCCCATTTGGACTCAGAGGTCACTGCTATCTGACCGCTCTGAAAAAAGCGATTTCCCTACCAGTGGCACCGAGTGGGTGCTCAATAAATAGCTGTGGAACGAAGCTGGGTGTGGTGGTTGACACCTGCAATCCCAGCACTCGGGGAGGCTGAGTCAGAAGAATTATAAGTCTGAGTCTAGTGTGGGCCATTTAACGGGACTCTGTTTATAAATAAAAAATAACATAGCTGACCCTGAAAAAATGAATAAATGTCAAACAGATAAATATTTGTTGAAAATGGAATAAAAGAAACCCAGCTATTTCAACATTTTGTGTATTTGTGTTTCCCTGGGAGGGACAGCAGCCATCAATGATTCTCCTATGGGTTCTGGGAGCCCAAAGGCAGTCCTGGAACCCCACAATGCCACAGGGCAGGACGGGAAGTCTGGATAGGACAGGGAAAGGGGAATCTGGGTTCTTGAGAGGAGCTGGGGAGGAACATCAGACCAGGCCATGAGTGACCTACGCTGGAGGACATATGGTCCAGGTGTGGAGACAGCCATGGATCCCCCTTCCCACTTTCAGGAATTCCCGGCTCACGCAGCTCCCTGGATTCCTCCCCACAGCCTCCAAGGGCAGAGCCAGGTTGGAGGACAGAAACAAAGGCAGCGATTTCAAAGATAACCCAGAGCGATCTTTATTCACCAGAGCTCAACATGCAGGCCCTAAGCTCTGAAGCCCCAAACCAACCAATGTAAAATGTGACTGGGGCTCTTCTTTTCTTGGCCAAGAAAAAAATAAAACAAATCAAATTAAATCTAGGCAATTGCCATGCCCACTTGGGTACTTAAACCTCTTTCCTATGGGAGCTTTGTTAACTTAACTGGTAGAGGATGAAGAATACTGCCAACTGCCATCCTTTGGCCGGGAGGTGGCAGAGATGCATCTCTCACTGGGGGAGAAGGACCCCACTGGTGATCTAGGACTGGGAACAGGCGGTAATGAATGAGGTAAATCAAATGAGGTAAACAGGGCAAAGAACGACTAAGGGGAGATACAAGGTGTCAGCTCACCCAAGGAAACTGGTGAAGCTCTACTCTCAGATGCACTTGGTGGGGGCTTTCCATCCTCTCCCCCAGCTCCTGATGGAGGGGTGCTGCAGATGTGACAGTGTGGTCCATGCAGAAACCGTGGGTCTGAAGGTGCTCAAGAAGGCGGAGGTGGACAGTCTCAAACCAGTAGTCGGTCTTCAAGTTCTCAGGTACCAGGTATGTGTTCCTGTCTGGGTTCTCAGAGTGGCCTGCAGAGTACACTGGGTGTCCGGGCACGGTGGAGCAGCCCAAGATGCCTGGAGAGTTGAGGCTCAGGCTGAGAACTCGAAGAACAGGACCAGGGTCACCAGCAGCCCCCAAGAGAACTGAAGCTCCATGAATTGGGGGCCCAAAGGAAAGCCACTGGGGTGGCCAGTCCCCAGGGAAGGGCTCCTGCTGCACCAGACTGGGGGAGCCCGGCACTGACCAGCTCGGCTGCCAGCAGCCTCAGCGTTTTACGATCCAGCAGGGTTGGAGCGCTGGGGACCATGAGTCCCAAAGGGCTGGAGTAGCAGAGGGGAGGGTTTAGGGACTTAAGACAGGACTGAACCCGGAGAGCTAGGGGTGCAGATGGTAGGCACCTCACAGTCCTCAGTGCTTGGCCTTTCGGCCAGCTGAGTTGCGTCCACTGCGGCGGTAGAGGGATTGCTGGTTGCCATTGAGTGGGCAGTACTTGAGTGTGTGAGCCTGGCCACCAGTGGCCCCACATAAGGGACACACGTAGTGCCTCAGGATGGGACACAGCACCACACCCTCCGGCGTCTTCAGCTGGTGTGAGGCGTAGACATGACGGGACTCCCCATTGTGCTTGCAGAAGTTGCACAGGGTGGTCCCTGGCTCCAGACCTCGTTGCCCCAGCTGGGGCCCTGGGCTGGGCCCCTGGGTCTCCTTGGTCTCCTTGGTCTCCACAGTCTGCTCGATCTCCAGCCTTTGGCTCCTGCTCTTGATCAGGGCCAACACCACCTTGCTGAGGTTGAAGTAGTCCTTCCACAAGTCAAAGAGAGGCAGATCCATGGTGCCCTGGCAGGCTGCAGTAGGTGGCCAGAGAGGGGCTGCAAGCCAGTGGGCAGGAGTAGGGAGAGTTTCCTAGAGCAGAGGTGAGCTGTACCCCTTTTATACTCCCCAGAGATCCTTCTAAGCAAAGGTGGAGCTTAGGATTTAAAGGGCCCACTCCAAGCCTTCGACCCCATCTCACTCAACTCTCCCACAGAGACTGAAAGGAGGTCACGACCCTGTTGTTCAGTCTCCAAGTTTCTTTGTGTCTTGTGGAAAGGCCTCTCCATTGCCTGAGCCTCAGTTTCCCTGTCTGTTCAATTTAGATCCACGCACAGGCCTCAGAGTACACAAGTGGCAGAACCAGGTCTGCAGGTCTCCAAGGAAGTCCTTAAACCTCTTCTGGTGCCACACTCCTGTAATCCCAGCTCTCAGGAGGCCGAAGCAGTAAGATTTTGTGTCTGAGGCCAGCCTGAGCTACACTGCAAATGTGCAGTCAGTTCAGGCTCTTTGGTGAGGCCCTATCTCAAAAAATAAAAGAAAACCCCATTCTGATTAAATCCTTTTCTTCGTTACATTAAACTACGAGTATGTGAGTGGATGCATGTGTGTGTGCCAGGGTGATGCCCATGCTAAGCACACCCTCTGCCACCGAGTTACCTCCCAGCCAAGGAGAAGCCTGTCATTCCAAGAACATTTATTGAGTACATACTGTAGTGGTCAGTGCTTTAGAGACAGGGTCAAGGAGGTGACAGGGTCAAGGAGGTGACTACTACTGTTTCCATTTTACAGGGGAGGATATGACACTCAGGGAGGGTAAGGCTTATCGTCAGTCAGGCTACACAGCTGGGAAATGACAGAATAAGGACTGACACCAGTGTCTGATCCCAGGGATGCCAGGAACTGATGTTAGAAGTAGCAGAGGTCCTTGGCAGAGTTGAGCACAAATTTGGGGGCGGGACAGTGTCATAGTCCAGTGCTCAGTAAGCAGCCCCGTGTAGCTGGGCATGATAACACACATCCATAATCCCAGCACTCTGGGAGGCTGAGACAGGAGGACTAAAAGTCTGAGCCCAGCCTGAGCAGTTTACAGATTTAGTGGGATTTGGTGTCGTTTTTTAAAAAACACTTAAAAAGGGCTGAGGAGGTAGCTCAGTTTCAAGGCCCTAAGTTCAGTCCACAGTACTGGAAAAGAAAAATACCATTCAAACTTGCTTTCTGAGTGGCTGTGAGCTGGTTACTTACCCTCTCCCAGCCTCTGTTTCCTCATATATCAAGAGAGGATGGTGTCATCTCTCTGCCCCAGAGCAGACTATAATTGTCACATCCCTCACGTAAGAACCTGGCTTATGGAATGTGCTCATTTGTTAACTGTGGTCATTAAGACACAAGACAGTGATCCTGGGAGACACTAACTGAGCATCTTGTTTAGGCCAGCAGCATGCCCAGAGCTCTGCCTGGGTTGTCTCTTTGAACTTGTCCCAGAATCTGTGACACTGAGTCTGTGAAAAGTCCCATTGTACAGATGAGCAAAGAGAAGCTCTGAGTGTCCCAAGTCATATGGCCAGCAGGTGATGAGCTGGAAGAAAGCCCAGGGCTGCTCACCCTCTCTGCCCAGGTATCCTCCTGCCCCTGTGTAGCTTCTCTGAACCAATTACAAGTGGCCAAGAAAAGGCAGCAGAAGTGGGGGTGCTTGCAGGTATAGGTGCAACCTGAGACAGGATCTGGGCAGAGTAGAGCAGGTGTGAGCCACACAGCTTTTCATAGCGAGAAGTCAAATTACTGTTGACTACTGCCAGACGTCCTCAAAGAAGAGACTGCTGTCTGCAGTGTGGAAGGACAGGTGCTGAGAGAGGGTGACCATGATGGGTACCGAGGTCTCTCTGCCAAATGCTTTATTTTTTGAGACAGCATCTTTATGCTTTATCTTTTGAGACAGTCAGGTACTTCAGGTTGGCCTTGAATTCACAGCAATCCTCCTGCTTCAGCCTCCCCAGTGCTGGGATTACAAGCATGTGCCACTGCTACCTCGTGGCCTCACTGCAGTCTGAGTCATGTAGGACTGAAGGGGGCAGGTCTGAAGCACTGTGACTCTCCCTAATAATTACACCTATCGCTTGGAGAATCCCAGACTGTTGCTTGCTCTCCTGGGGATCCTCCCATCCCCCACCCACCCCCACCCTCCCACCCCCGCCTCCTTTATTTTTTTCCTAGTCGTTTTCTTCTAGAACACTATTATTTGGGCTCTCCTTTCTCGTTTGTTGTTGTTGTTTTCTTTTTAAATGAGTCAATTGAAGGACACGCCTCCCCCCCAAAGCTCCTTTGCATGGCTGGATATTGCTGTGTTGAAGGTAGAATCGCCAGTGATACTGATCTGAAATTCATCAGCCCAGTGTTTACAGCTGCCCCCGCCCCGCCCAGTCCCCAACCCCAATTCGGGCTCCCTGATTTGCTGTGAGTTTCCCTAGCAGCCAGACTCCCAGTGGAGAAAACAGCCCTGGAGGAGGGGGTTTGCAGAAGGCTAAGGGTTAAAAGTCCTAAGAGGAGACACAGGCAGATGTGGGGACTCAAGAAAGAGAGGAAGGAGCAAAGGCCCAGGTTAACATGGGAGATGTGGACCTGCGAAAGGGACCCCCAGAGCCAACTAAAATGTAGCCTTCGTGGTCTCTTAGTTATTTTTTTTTTTAATCTTTTTCCTTTTCCTTTTTTTATCGGTATCAGGGATCGAACTCACGACCGCACACTTGCAAGGCTGCTGAACTAAATCCCCAGCCACTTTTTGTATGTATTCTTTTTTTTTTTGTTTGTCTTTTTCATTTTTATCTGTACTAGGGATCAAACTCACGATTGCCTGCTTGCAAGGCAGGTGCTTTCGCCGCTGAGCTAAATCCCCAGCCCCCACTTTTTGTATGTTTTCTATGTGATCTCACTGTGACAATCTTGTTAAACAAGCCTGTTATTGTGCCCATTTTATAGAGCACAACATTGAGGTTCAGAGAAGTGATTTTGCTTATTGATGTCACTGCTAAAGCCTAGAGAGGAGGAACATGTTCACACTCAAGAAAGTGTGAGTGACAGAGACAGAGGCTGCAGGGAGAGGTGAGAAAAGAAGAATGAGGTAATATGTGAAGTAACAGGGCAGCATGGCCACTGCAGTAACAGGACCTGGGACCACTCTTGGCTTTGCCACTTTCAACTGTGTGGCTTTGAGCAAGTGACATACCTTCTTTGGCCTTTTTCCTCATTCCAGAAAAAAGGAGATGGTTACAGATCTCCTGTTATGGGGGCTTTTCTGAGGATGACAGGTGACAACACAAGAGGTCATTTTTTTTTTTTTTTTTTTTTGCTTTTTAACTTTTTATCAGTACCAGGGATTGAACTCACGACCGCCTGCTTGCGAGGCAGGTGCTTGTGTCACTGAGCTAAATCCCCAGCCCCCTCACTGTTACTTTTAATTACATACCCCCACTAAACATTCACTGCATGGGGAACAGTGTCCCAGGCTGAGGCTGGTGCAAAGGCCCTGTGGTTGTCAATGGCTGGCCTATTCAAGGAGCATCCAGGAGGCCAGTGTAGCTTAGATGGATAGAGTGAGGAGGAGAAGTAATGGAGAAGGAGAATGACCATTGTTTTCTGAGGAAACTGAAGTCTGAGGGATGATTTCATCTGGCTCAAGTCATACAGAAGCATGGGACCACAGGCTGGCCTTTGGCTGACCTGTCTCAAAGTGACTTCTCTGGCCCCTGGGTCAGGTCACCTGGGATGCTTGCGGAAAGTGCTGGTTTGGGTTCATTATGGCTCTACAAATACACGGTTCTGGACCTGCACAGATGTGGCTGGGGATTTGTGATTGTAGCCTCCTCCTTGCAGGCCCTTTCACAGGGCCTAGGAGACTCCCACCCAGCTGCCAGAGCGCGCGCGCTCGGGGTGAAGCCTGAGCAGAGGAGCGGAGTAACAGCGAACGCACAAATGTGCCGCCAGCCTCTGAAACTACCTTTAGTTCCCATCCTGCGGTCAAGCCTGCCGCTGATGGGAGTCTCTTCCTTCCCTCTTTCACCTGGAGTTATTGAAGGCTGTGTTCCTTTCTTCCTGTCCTGTTCGGGGTTACCCCCTCAAATTGCAAGTTGGTGTCTTTCATCAATACTCGAAATTTGTTTGTTTCTGGGGTTCTGGGGATTGAATTTAGAGCTTTTGGATTCAGTTACAACCCCAGCTCTTTTATTTTGAGACAAGACCTTGCTACATTTCTTCCTTTTCTGTTTTTCTTCTCTTCTCCCTCTTCCCCTCCTTCCCTCCCTCCTTTCCTTTTTCTTCCTTTCTTTCCTTTCTCCAGGGCAGGGTCTCATTGTGTAGTCCAGGCTGGTTTTGAATTCCCTATATAGTCTATCCTGGGCTCAAATTTATGGCAATCTCTACTGATTGATGTGTTTTGAAATTTTGCTTTCTTTTTTTTTTCTCCTTTTTTTTTCTCTTTGAAATAAAATGGATTTGGGGGAAAAATCTATACTTGAAAAAAAAATGTGGCAATCCTCCTGCCTCAGCTTCCCAAATGCTGGGATCACAGGTGTGCACCAGCATGTCTGACTCTTGCTAAATTTCTGAGTTGCTCAGCCTGGGTTTGAAATTATGACCCTCCTGCCTCAGCCTCCTAGAGTGCTAGGATTATGGGCATGTGCTGCCACACCTGGCTTAGTCCTGGTCACTTCAGATGTTCATCTGCAGTACCATCCGTGTCCCATTTCTTTGTTTTCTAGGGTTGCTATCTGTGTGTGTTGGGTGATCTTCGTGTCACCTATGCCTCTTTTTTGTTTTGTCTTTTTTTTTTTTTTTTTTTTTATCGGTACCAGGGATCGAACTCACGACCGCCTGCTTGCAAGGCAGGCGCTTACACTGCTGAACTAAATCCCCAGCCCTCACCTATGCCTCTTTTTTTTTTTTGTCTTTTTTTCTTTTTATCGGTACCAGGGATTGGTACCGGGGATCGAACTCTCGACTGCCTGCTTGCTTTTTTTTTTTGTCTT